CACACAAGCCCAACTGTGTCCCACCACACCTCAAACATTTGGTGATTTGCTCTTTCTGACGCATCCTCACACCACTCGCCCATCCCCCCCTTTCACATAGCCCCATCGCACCGACATACACACACACAAGCACATACACACACACACTCGGTTCGAGAGCTGCCTGATGGCCCTCGTGCTTAGTGAATGTGGGCTGTGAGGCGAGCCACGTGAAGAGGCAGCTTCGTGGAGAAGATCTTCTTGCTCGCCAGACGCATTTCCTTGTTTCGACCAAGCCTCTCCAGAAAGTGCTCCGCAAACCGTCCAGCGACCCGGCTCGATGGGAGAAGACCGCGAAGAGGAGTAATCTTCTTCGAGAAGGTCGCTGTTTCTGTCTTTGTGCACTCGACTGTTAGTCTGCCGTTTTGGCGCCTATTTTTGAGGAGCACTTTGGAGGCGACATTCGCCTCAAGCCCGTTTGTTTCAGCATTTCTTGCCAGATTTTTCGGTACATAATTTTTCTTCCCACCTCGCCCAGACGAAGCAGTCGTCAGCTCCGGTACCGCCGTTGAACGTCGACGAGCTGATGACACATTTGAGGTGGCTCTTTTGCCATTTACCACCTCCTCCCCCCCTCCCCCATGGACCATATATCCTCTTATTTTATTAAAATAAAGCTCATTTCCACACGAGCCTGACCTCTCTTCCCTCACAGCCTTGGTCTGACGGCGACGCCTCGACGAGCCAATCGCAAGCCGGCCATTTGTCGACATGCATGTCGTTCCACCTCTCGCAGCGACGGGTAGAAGGTCCGGTCGCCAGGCTGAGCCCATCCTGACACCAGCGCCCCTTACTTCGAATCCCCCCGCGGACGTGCCCCACACAAATGGACTGCCGTCTCGGCTTAAGAGGCCTTTTTTGTCGATCCATCCCACTTAGGGATGACCACCATACCCCACTCCCACTCCTCCGCAGCATCATACCCTGCCAGTTGCACGGAAGGGACACGAGGCGGCCCAAAGTACCATCTTTCTCGTTCATCTTTAGGGCATTTTCAATGAGTAGCCATCTCTCCGGAGGTGGGGTTTAGCGTCGCGCCGAGGAACTGCATAGAAGACCTCGACCTTGCCATCCAGAAAGCCAGCACTCTGCTCTCCAAAGCACCCAAAAAGGGGTTCGGAGCCGAGTCCTGCGCGCCAAGTGGCAACATTTCACCTCTCCCAAGCACAGCGATGGGCTCCACTGGGTCAAGGAGCAGATGCCACCTTGCGGCAAGTCGGGCTCTTGGCTGATGGCAATTTTCCGCAAGGGCGACTTGTAATTTCCATCCTCATCCACCAACTACTTGTCGTATGTAAGTAGGGCCTTGAGACGACCAGAAAATCTGAAGCCCATTTCGTTTGAGGTGATGAACAACTTGCAGTCGCATTTTCCCACAACACAGATCCGCTTCACAAACTGTATTCTCATCTCGGCATGGGTCCAGCTTCGCTTGCACTGGCCTCATCCGAATCCCCCGCGGGACTCGAACCATGACAGGACTGGCACGAATGCTCTTGGTCCACAGGACAGATACCAATTCCGTTGTAGGATTGTGGAACGAAGCAAAGTTGTCTTTGCTATTCTTAGAAATGGGTTGACCTCGTTGTCGAAACTTGGTCTTGTTGTCACGGCGACTTAGTAGAACGCACCAAGTCCGAAGTCGTCTGGCACAGTAGTTGTCATGATTGCCAGCATCAGACAGTGGACTTGGTACATTCTCAAACGTTCCGCCAGCATCATCAGTCAGTTTTGCCATTCTCCGCTCCAAGCTACGAACTCGTCAAGGAGACAATGGAAGTCAATCTCTCGACAACCGTCCTGGCCTATCTATCTACTCTTTACCCACTTATCCCACTGAGAATGTGCCAAGTCCACTATCAGATGCTGGGAATCATGACAACTACTATGTGTTCTACTAAGTCGCCCTGACAACAAGACCAAGTTGCGACAACGAGGTCAACCCATACCAGAGGCCACAACATCTTGGTCTTCATATCTTCAATTACACTATTCTTATGTCGCTGGTAAGTAGAGTTTAGAGACATCTCGAATATATGATTT